TAGATGCGATTTGCGTGTGTGTTAAAAAATATATGCCAGAGGCGATCAATTCGTGAGCTGGTTGTTATTTCACACTAGATGCGATTTGCGTGTGTGTTAAAAAATATATGCCAGAGGCGATCAATTCGTGAGCTGGTTGTTATTTCACACTAGATGCGATTTGCGTGTGTGTTAAAAAATATATGCCAGAGGCGATCAATTCGTGAGCTGGTTGTTATTTCACACTAGATGCGATTTGCGTGTGTGTTAAAAAATATATGCCAGAGGCGATCAATTCGTGAGCTGGTTGTTATTTCACACTAGATGCGATTTGCGTGTGTGTTAAAAAATATATGCCAGAGGCGATCAATTCGTGAGCTGGTTGTTATTTCACACTAGATGCGATTTGCGTGTGTGTTAAAAAATATATGCCAGAGGCGATCAATTCGTGAGCTGGTTGTTATTTCACACTAGATGCGATTTGCGTGTGTGTTAAAAAATATATGCCAGAGGCGATCAATTCGTGAGCTGGTTGTTATTTCACACTAGATGCGATTTGCATGTGTGTTAAAAAATATATGCCAGAGGCGATCAATTCGTGAGCTGGTTGTTATTTCACACTAGATGCAATTTGCATGTGTGTTAAAAAATATATGCCAGAGGCGATCAATTCGTGAGCTGGTTGTTATTTCACACTAGATGAAAATTGCATGTGTGTTAAATAATATATGCCAGAGGCGATATATTATTCTGTTGCGATGGAGACAAACAATGTATTATAAATGTTTATTACAAATATATAAACATTTATGTATACGAACAAAAAAAGACAATATAATATATATTTGTATAAATAATACATTGTTGTTATATATCCATTGATTATATCGATTGAAAAAAATTAGCTGCGTTGCATAGATCGCAACTTATAGAAAGTTACATGATAATATTCAGAATATATGTATATATCATATATCATACACATACATCTGTATACGTCTATGTACATATTATACATATACATATATATATATACACAATTATATATATAACACCTAACCAAATGTTATTCCTCTTGGAAGATATATGGGAAGACACATAGCCCGTATGAACAATGTGAAATTATGTTCAAATATGTGATAAAGGCAGACACGTCTATATTATACTGTTATCTATACGCTTAAATACGCTTAGATATGCGTGCGAGGCAATAGAGCAGTAGAAATACACGATGTTGTCCGACTTCAACATTGAACACAATTCTCTTTCAAATATGCATAAAACATGCAGAAATATTAATATCGGTAACAGCGGAACTAAAATTATTGATAATATCGATAATTTCGGTCGGTATTATCGATAATTTTAGTTACGCTTAGATGAGGGCGCTAACTCGTCGGAGTTCGGCCGTCACTTTTGGATCTCCTTAATTGTCCTAATTGTTCGCTTTATCTTGTCTTCATTTTCTCACGCCAAAACTATTCTCGTCCTCTAACTTAATCTCGTCTTCTAACTAATCGCCTCTAATTCTCACTATGAATTTTTGCACACCTGCTCTGCTCTACATTTGAGACTCGATTCAACGTAGACCGCGCACAGGAATTTCGGCTGCCCCGCGAGAGCGGCCCCCGAGATGCCCGATATTGCCAAATAAGGCAATATCAGACGATACGCAAGAAGTTGTTTGCGTGGCTTTGGAAGCTTCTCGACTTTCAAGTCAGGGTTGTTGACAACGCTCGAAGGTCGCGTCGACGAATCAACAATGATTCAAAGTGAGGCAATTTTTAGCTTCGGCAACACTCAAAACGATTAAATAAAATTAGGCTATAAGCTTAAAGTGGCAGTAATTGGGACATTTACCCTATACATAATTTTTATGTACAACGGTATTTTATAATGTTCCCACGGTAGCGTATCGGTGGTTTCGGGTACGATATACCGCTTGTCATTGTATGTACTTACAAGGGGAAATCCAGACATGGCTCTCTCCGATTTCGCCGATATATTTCGCATATATATATACATATACATATATATATTATAATCATATCCTCCCACTAATCCATGGTAAAGTAACATGACTCAATTTTCAAGCATTCGCGAAAAAAATGCATTTAAAAATTTGTGTGGTCTTTATATGCCGAATTGTAAATACAGATTATTTGCAACTAAGCGGCATAGCTTGGTGGGTAAGACGCGCGGCTACTACATTGCGTATTGCTGGTGCGATTCTTACTTTCTGACATCTTTTTTTTTAAATAAAGCGAATTATTGTGTTATGTATTTTTATTATTTTAAAAGACAAATGATTATTATTAATAATATTGTTCGGGAGTCGACCTCGACGAGATCGCCCGAATCTTGAGAAACGCTCAGAGATGTGCGAGAAGCGGTGTGTAACGCGAATCCGTAGATCCGCTGGAGGATAAGGAGAGTTCAGAAAAGACTCGAGTGTAAATTGTTTCCAATATTCGTTTAATTTTGAATAATAGGAGCGAGCGACGGCATGTATTCCGCGATTCCGACGGAAATCTTTAAAATGTCCTGTTAATGACTGTCTTCGACGCGTGTCGGAAATCTTGTAAAGCTTCTTGCTAGAGGCTCTTGCGAGAACGGATATCTTGCACGCGGACGCCGGATGTTGCTTGGCGCGAGGCAGAGGACATTCGCGGAACGGTTAACGCGCGTCGGCTCTCGGATTCCACACTCTTGACCATCACAAACTTAATAAGTATCGAGCAGGTAGTAATACAGACAATGAGGCGTCTTTCGCACTGAGTTCGATGCTCGATCGTATGCTAATGTGTCGGTTGAGAATTTACAACGAGAATGACGAAAGCGCATACGACACCAGCGAATTAAACGACAAAAAATGCGTGAGCGATCGACACAAGCGTAAACTACACGAGCGAAAGTAACAATAGCAGCGCGAATGGTTTATGAATACCGCGACACGACACGAGCGAGAAAACGACACGAGAAATTATGATCGACTGCTATCGACCAGCTCGAATCGTCGTCAGCGGCATACTGAATAACGACGGAAAAGAGTCGCGGTCGACCGATTTCCATAATAGGAGATTTTCGGCACCGAATGTTCGAGAATCTAGGTGTTTGTCACACTTTTTCTTTGTTATGATCACGCGATCACGCGCCGATCGGCTGATCGCGACAATGTTTATTCTCGCTCGGGTTTTGATTGCAGCTCTTACCGTTCAGATTTGTCGGTTGAATTTACAATTTAAATTTATCGATTAAATTTGTAACGGAATTACTTTTCGCGAGCGCGCGGATGAACTCGGTCGGGATCAGGGCTCGTGAAAAGGTGAGACACACGAAAAGCTTTAGTTATGAAGGTGGTGGGTGGGAGAGAGGGAGGGGAGAGGGAGGGAGGGGGAGAGAGAGGGGGGACCTTATCAGCTTTCTCACAAGGGAGGTCCACCTGAGAGTAAATTTGTTTATCAATTTCATTGGTCTTAGCTAATAAAGCACCTTTCAAAGTATAACATGTTAAGTCCACAGGCCAATGTAACGCCTAATAATCGGGAAATAGGCCCGGGATAATTCGGCTGGGCTGGGACACAATGTCCTCTCCCAAGGTACTGCCCACTTTCTAACCCAATGCAATGCACCGAATGCATGTATATCGTTTGGCATATGCATTCTTTGCATTATATTGGGTTAGAAAGTGGACAGTGCTCTGGAAGAGGACATTGTGTTTCCAGCCGAATTATCCCGAGTCTATTTCCCGATTATTAGGCGTTACATTGGCCTGTGAACTTAGCATGTCATACTTTGAAAGGTGCTTTATTAGCTACGACCAATGAAATTGATAAACAAATTTACATTCAGGTGGACCTCCCTTGTCAGCTATTTGTAATACAAATCTAGTTTACATTAATTACAATATACTCCTTTAACATTCGCTTGAACGGCACAATTCTTTCATTCCGCTTTATTTCAGCTGACAAAGTGTTATACATTTCCACTCCTTTGTAAAACATACTTTTTTGTGCACTCCTTGCTCTGCGATATTTTATTGCAATATCCCCAGCTTGTCGTGTTTGTTTTTCACTCTCATTTCACACTATTTCTAATCTATTTCTTAATTGCCCCGGTAATATGTTCCTTAAAATCTTAAAAATAAAAATACGCACATTATAGTATAGCCTCTGTTTTATGGACATAAACTGCAGCGCTTGCAGCGTACGCTCCACTTTGGACAGTGATTCCAGAAACGGGTCCCGCGGCTCACGGCTCAGCAATGGAAGGGGTAACGCACACAAGCGCGAATCGCGTACATGTGCCACATGTACGCGGTTCGCGCTTGTGTGCGTTACCTCTTCCATTGCTGAGCCGTGACCCGCGGGACCCGTTTCTGGCATCACTGACTTTGGTATGTCTATCATATTGCAATATAATCCTCATGGCCCGGTTTTGTCCTTTTTGCAATTTACTCAGCTGTGTTTCTCCTATATCAATTAACAGCGTCGCACAATACTCAAAGTGAAGCGCTATGATTGATTTATATACAATACATGTAGTGTATGCCGATATATAATTACCTATTCTATTCAAAAAACCCATTTTTTTCCTATTTTCTTTGGAATCGTCCCGATTGCGCACATTACCGATCGGACACGACAATATTTCCCGATCGGACACAGACCCGATCGGACACAGACCCGATCGGACACAGTCCCGATCGGACACAGGCTCGATCGGACACAGACCCAATTGGACACAGTTACGATTGGACACATACTGTTGCAATCGGACACAATCCCAATCGGACACAGACTCGATCGGACACAGGCTCGATCGGACACAGGCCCGATCGGAGACAGTCCCGATCGGACACAGGCCCGATCGGACACAGGCCCGATCGAAGACAGTCCCGATCGGATACAGGCCCGAACGGACACAGGTCCGAACGGACACAGGTCCGAACGGACACAGGTCCGAACGGACACAGGTCCGAACGGACACAGGCCCGAACGGACACAGGCCCGGTCGGATACATGGCCGAACGGACACAGGTCCGAACGGACACAGGTCCGAACGGACACAGGTCCGAACGGACACAGGTCCGAACGGACACAGGTCCGAACGGACACAGGTCCGAACGGACACAGGTCCGAACGGACACAGGCCCGAACGGACACAGGCCCGATCGGATACAGGCCCGATTGGACACATATGATTGCAATCGGACACCGTCCCGATCGGACACAGTATATCAGAAATATATAGGTTAGGGTTAGGTTATATCTTCCGGAAGTGATGCCCCCCCGTAGGGGGAGCGGAACATACTGCCTCCACGCATATACTTTTTAATGCGAAGTAAGGTTCCACATAGGTTTACAACTTTCCCCGCGAAAAGAGATTCAACGCAAATCTATGTGTCTAGTTTTTTGATAGTGGAGCTTCCCCGTAGTGGGGACGGAACCCACTGTGTCCACGCATACATTTCCCCATCCACACAACAATTGTAGGATACAGGTCCGAACGGACACAGGTCCGAACGGACACAGGTCCGAACGGACACAGGTCCGAACGGACACAGGTCCGAACGGACACAGGTCCGAACGGACACAGGTCCGAACGGACACAGGTCCGAACGGACACAGGTCCGAACGGACACAGGTCCGAACGGACACAGGTCCGAACGGACACAGGTCCGAACGGACACAGGTCCGAACGGACACAGGTCCGAACGGACACAGGTCCGAACGGACACAGGTCCGAACGGACACAGGTCCGAACGGACACAGGTCCGAACGGACACAGGTCCGAACGGACACAGGTCCGAACGGACACAGGTCCGAACGGACACAGGTCCGAACGGACACAGGTCCGAACGGACACAGGTCCGAACGGACACAGGTCCGAACGGACACAGGTCCGAACGGACACAGGTCCGAACGGACACAGGTCCGAACGGACACAGGTCCGAACGGACACAGGTCCGAACGGACACAGGTCCGAACGGACACAGGTCCGAACGGACACAGGTCCGAACGGACACAGGTCCGAACGGACACAGGTCCGAACGGACACAGGTCCGAACGGACACAGGTCCGAACGGACACAGGTCCGAACGGACACAGGTCCGAACGGACACAGGTCCGAACGGACACAGGTCCGAACGGACACAGGTCCGAACGGACACAGGTCCGAACGGACACAGGTCCGAACGGACACAGGTCCGAACGGACACAGGTCCGAACGGACACAGGTCCGAACGGACACAGGTCCGAACGGACACAGGTCCGAACGGACACAGGTCCGAACGGACACAGGTCCGAACGGACACAGGTCCGAACGGACACAGGTCCGAACGGACACAGGTCCGAACGGACACAGGTCCGAACGGACACAGGTCCGAACGGACACAGGTCCGAACGGACACAGGTCCGAACGGACACAGGTCCGAACGGACACAGGTCCGAACGGACACAGGTCCGAACGGACACAGGTCCGAACGGACACAGGTCCGAACGGACACAGGTCCGAACGGACACAGGTCCGAACGGACACAGGTCCGAACGGACACAGGTCCGAACGGACACAGGTCCGAACGGACACAGGTCCGAACGGACACAGGTCCGAACGGACACAGGTCCGAACGGACACAGGTCCGAACGGACACAGGTCCGAACGGACACAGGTCCGAACGGACACAGGTCCGAACGGACACAGGTCCGAACGGACACAGGTCCGAACGGACACAGGTCCGAACGGACACAGGTCCGAACGGACACAGGCCCGAACGGACACAGGCCCGATCGGATACAGGCCCGATTGGACACATATGATTGCAATCGGACACCGTCCCGATCGGACACAGTATATCAGAAATATATAGGTTAGGGTTAGGTTATATCTTCCGGAAGTGATGCCCCCCCGTAGGGGGAGCGGAACATACTGCCTCCACGCATATACTTTTTAATGCGAAGTAAGGTTCCACATAGGTTTACAACTTTCCCCGCGAAAAGAGATTCAACGCAAATCTATGTGTCTAGTTTTTTGATAGTGGAGCTTCCCCGTAGTGGGGACGGAACCCACTGTGTCCACGCATACATTTCCCCATCCACACAACATTTGTAGGATGGACCTAGCTTCGCGATAAGGACTGTGTCTGATCGGAACTGTGTCCAATCGAGTCTGTGTCCGATTGAGCCTGTGTCCGATCGGGCCTGTGTCCGATCGGGCGTGTGTCCGATCGGGTCTGTGTCCGATTGGGAAATATTGTCGTGTCCGATCAGTAATGTGCGCAATCGAGACTCACTCTTTTCTTTAGCTTATAATCACAGTGGTCCTTAAATCGTAGTCTATCGTCAATAATTATGCCTAGGTATTTCATTTTTTCTACAGGTTCTATCTCAGTTCCATCCAAACATTTCAATGTAATATTACCTCGCAGTTCTTTTCTTATACTTCTGACTATCATATATTTCGTTTTACCTGCAATCATTTTTAACTTATTTATATTCATCCACTCTTCTATTACAGTAAATGCCATATTCATTTTGCCCTTTAATTCCGTGCTGCTTTCTCCAGTTACATATATTAACGTATCATCTGCAAACATTTTTATAATACATCCTTCTGGACAGATTTTTATTATATCATTTATATATACTATAAATAAGGGTGTAATTCCGAAAAGTACTCACCCCCGATTTTTTTGAAACTCAGTATTCTTACATATTTTGATGCGCTGATTACGAATATCATAGCAAAAATTGGCGACTATTTGATTTTCATGGTGAAAACCGTGAAAAACCCATAAAAATTATAGTTTTTACGCTTATCTGAGTAAATACGGAAAATCATGATAAATGTTTTAAACAAAAGTTTCAGATCTCACAAAGATAAACATTTTATATTCTATTCATTTTTACCGTTCGAGTGATAGTTTTCGACAAAAACGATGGACTCTAAATCTTATATCTGTCCTCCCATCTAAGCATGTATTTTGCAGTACATATACGATACCACATGGATTTGCAACTTTCGATGCAAAGCGAGATTCCACGCAAACCTATTTGTTTAGATTTTTGGTAGTGGAGCCCCCCGCAGGGGGGCGGAACCCACTGTTTCTATGCATACACTTTTCCACGCGTAGCGAGGTTGCACATGGGTTTGCAACTTTCCACGCAAAGCGAGGTTCCAAAAAACTAGACATATAAGTTTGCGTGGAATCTCGTTTTGCGTCGAAAGTTGCAAACCCATGTGGGATCGTATATGTACTGCAAAATACATGCTTAAATGGGAGGACAGATATAAGATTTAGAGTCCATTGTTTTTGTCGAAAACTATCACTTGTACGGTAAAAATAAATAGGGCATAAAATGTTTATCTCTGTGAGATCTAAAACTTTTGTCTAAAACATTTATCATGATTTTCCGTATTTACTGAGATAAGCGTAAAAAATATAATTTTTATGGGTTTTTCATGGTTTTCACCATGAAAATCAAATAGTCGCCAATTTTCACTATGATATTCGTAATCAGCGCATCAAAATACGTAAGAATACTGAGTTTCAAAAAAATCGGAGACGGGACCTTTTCGGAACT